CGATAGTTTTTGAAGATTGTTTCCACTCTTTACGTTGACTATGTACGAATCCGACGAAGTTCAATTTCAATCTTTTATTTTCTCCCCTTCCGGTGTTGAAAAGGCGTTTTATTGGGCAAACGTTCCCAAACCCTTACATATTATTCATATAAACATATACAACACTTTTCACATGGCGTTTTATAGGGACGTACCCAACCCTTTACATAAGTCCCTTAACCCATCTTATCACTTGGCCTTTTTACGACCTTACATATCCTGTTACCCATCCCACCCCTTCTAGGACCTTCCCTCTTTCTTCTTCCTTTGCTCCGCCTCGTCCTCGTCCGTGCTCATCTGCAGGTGGTCCTCCATCTTCTCCACGATCTCGTCCTCCGCCGACTTCCTGGTCCCCCCATTTTCTTTCTCTTTTCTTTCCTTTCTCTTTTCCCTCTCTTTTCCTTCTTTGATCCTATCTTCCACCGACTTATCTGCATCTATCTTTACCTTCATTCTACTTCCCTCCTTCCTTCTCGCTTCCAGTACTTTCCTGCTATCTCTTTCGTTTCCCATCTTTACGAGGAATGTTATCCAATCCCCTCTATGTCCTATCTGGTTCACCTCCTTTACCTCTACCCTCACCTTAAGCCCATCTGTAAAAAATTGCTTCATCTTATTCATATTCGAGCTACCTCCTCCCCATCTCTTCTTCTCGACCCTAATTATTACATTCTTCTTTCTTTTTTCATCGTCTCTCTCTTCTTCTTCTTCGTACCACCATTTTGCTTTACATACCCTACCATTTTCCTCCTCACTTTCGCTTCTCTTCCTTTTACCTGAACATTGTTCTAGTCTGTATACTTTCCTTTTTAGCTTCTCTATTTCCTCTTTCATTTCCCTTATCTCCTTCTTGTACTCCTTCATCACCTTCACCATTCGCTCTTCTGCAACCTTCTCTATCGCTTCTTTGTCGATTGCCATTGTTCCTTTGCAGATTAGTTTTCTCTCCATTTTTGCTCCTTCACCTCCTGCTTATCTGAAATCAAAAGACACTTAGTTAATCTCTCTGCTTAGCTGTCATTGACCCGCTTGCCTTCTTTTCCTTTCTAATTCCGCCATCCACTTCTCTCCTTCACCCTTGCTGTCTAGTATTCTTTTGATTCTTTCGCTAATTCCTTCTTTTTCTTCTCCTTCTTCGTCTCTTGCGCACCATTCTAACACATGCTCCCATGATTCTGCCTCCGCGCCACATATCCTGCAGCTTGTTTTTTCTATTGTATCCCAGTATCTTCCGCTTCTCATCTCGTTACCTAATCTGAACCTCGCTATCCTAATCATAGATTGCTCTTTTCCTTTTCTCTCCAGGTATTCAGGCCTCCTGCTTTCTACTACCTCCTTGTACCATTTGTTGTATCTTGATTCTCTTATCCTTCCGTCCTTCTCTTGAATCTGAATGTCCCTGTCTCTTTCTGTTAATTCCTCAATGCTACTCCACCCCTCCCCTTTTTTTCTCTCAATTTCCTTGACTGCATAACCTCTTCGCTCGTAAAAGCTCTTTCTTTCTTCTTCCCATTTTGACTTTTCTTTCCTATCCTTTTCCCTTATTTCCCTCCAGCATTCTCTTGCAATCTCGTTTCCTTCTCCTCTCTCCAATTTTTCTTCATACTTCATCGCCCTTCTACCAGCGCTTATTCTTTCTTTGTCTCTTTTAGTTTCCTCTCTTATCATATATCCGGGCGTGCTCCAGTCCAGGCCTAACGTCCACCTTATATACCTTTCGTGCATTCTTTCTATTTTCTCTCTTTCTTTCCATCCCCATACTTCTGCTCCATATAAGGCTATGCTTGCAACCAGCGCATCATATAACTTGATCCTTCTTATCCAGTCTCCTCCAAATAACCTTTTTCCTATTCCCCATACCTGTCTCATTGCTATGGTCGCTTTTCTTACTCTCTCATTTATATGTGCATCTTGTTCTCCGTTCTTTTGGAATGTGTAGCCTAGATAGCAGAATTCCTTCACCTCTTCTATTTCTTCTTCCTTCCAACTCCACTTTACTTTCTTCATTTTACCTCCTCCCTTCCTAAATCTCATTACTTTTGTTTTCCCTACATTAACTCTCAGCTTCTTTCTGTCAAAGTATCTTTCTAGTCTTTTCAGCATTCTCTTCATTTCCTCTTCATCCTCTGCTACTGCAACTATGTCATCCGCGTACGCTAACGTCCAGAATTTTATTTTTCCTACAACTACTCCTCCATCTTGTCCTTTCCTCATTGTCTCTTCCATGTCTGCCATCAGAAGTATGAAGAGTATAGCGCTCAGCGGGCATCCTTGCCTAACTCCTTTGACCGTCCAGAAGCATTTTCCTTTTTCCCCTTTTACCCTTACCACACATCTTGTCTCCTCATATAGGTCTTCTATCCTCGTTCTCAATTTCTCACTGATTCCTTCTTTCTTCATGACTTCCCATATTTTTTCTCTGTCTACTGAATCGAATGCGGCTTTCAGGTCTATAAATGCTGCTACCAGTTTCCCTTTCCTCTTGCTTATAGCTTTCCCAATCACATAGTTCAGCGCGTATATATTCTCCATTGTTCCTTTCTTTTTTCTGAATCCTGTCTGTGTTTCTGGTAGCATCCCCTTCTCTTCTACCTCTCTCTCTAGCCTCTTCGCCAAAATTGCTGCATATATTTTTTAACTTGTATTCATTAGCGTCACCCCTCTGTAGTCCTGTGCTTCCTTTCCTTCTCCCTTTTTTACTATTGGCACTATTATTCCTTCTTTCCAATCTTCTGCTATCTCCCCCGTTCTCCATGCTTTGTCACATACCTCCCATATTTTTTCTCTCAGTCTCTCGCCTCCATAGATCCAAACCTCGTTTGCTAGTCCATCCGTGCCTGCAGCTTTCTTTTCTTTCATTTCTTTAATTACTTCTTCCACTTCTTCTCTTCTTATTCCTTCCTGCTCTTCTTTATTCCCTATTCTTTCCTCTTTCCTCCTATCTTTTTCATACGGCTTCGTCATAACTCCATCCAGTAGTTCGATGAAGTGTTTATTCCACTGCTCCTCCGTTATCTCTTCGCATACCTCTTTCCTGCTTTTCCTTTGTCTGTTTATAAATTTCCATACTTCCGTTTCATTATTTGCTTCTCTCGCTTCCTTCATTACTCTCTCCTTTTCTGATTCCTTTTTTTCTTTTACTTTTTCCTTATATTCCTTTTTCTTTGCTATGTACTTCTTTTTGTCTGTCTCTCCTCTTCTCCACCTCGCTAGGTTCTCACGTGCTTCCTCCCTTAGTTTTGCACATTCTTTATCCCACCATCCATTTTTTCTCTTTGCTTTCCCGTCCTCTCTTATTTCTTTCCACTCTGCGGCTCGCTTTGTCGCTTTCTTTATTTCCTCCAGTATTTCCTCTATGCTCGTACCTTCAATCTTCTCTTCTTTCATTCTCTCTTTGTACCTTTCTTTTCCTTCCCTCGACCAATTCATTATTTTTCTCACTCTTCTCTTCTCCTCTCCTCTTTCACTTTTTCCTTTTATCTTTATTGTTACGGGTTGATGATCCGAGTCTACCGTCTCTCCAATCTTCACTTCCACTGTTTTTTCCCATACCTCCTGGTTTCCGATTATATAGTCGATTACCGACTCTCCCCTTCCTCCTGTAAATGTGAACTCTCCATCGTTGTCTCCTTTTGTTCCGTTCAATATTCCTAATCCTCCTTCCTCAATAAACCCCAACAGTTTCCTTCCTTCTGTGTTAATTTCTTTGTCTTTCGATTTTCTCTTTTCCCCCATTATCTGTTAGTCCACCTTCTTCCCCAGTTCTTGCGTTAAAGTCACCTCCTATTATTATTTGCTCCCCTAATCCTCCTTCGTTTGTGAATTCCTTTATATGCCTTATTTTCTTCTCAATATCGTTGTTCACATATACCGCTATAATCTTCCACGTTCCCTCCTTCGTCTTTGCTATTCTTTCTACAATTCCTTCCTCTTCTCTCTCTTCTGCTCCACCTGCCACTATTTCCTTCCTAACACCAGTTATTATTCCTCCTCTCGCTCTTCCTTTCTTTTTTTCTTTTGTCGCAGGTTGGCATTTCCATACGTATTTATCTAATAACATTCCTTTGATTTTGCGCCAATCTTTTTGTTCTACCCACGTTTCTAGCATCGCTATTATATCCCAGCTTTCCATCTCTTTCCAGAATTCTTCGTTTTTTCTCTTTAGTCCAGCTATGTTCCAAAAGCCTATGCTTATTGTACTCTCTTTTTCTTCATATTTCTTGCTCTTTTCCTTGTTCCCTCTCCATATTTTCTCTCCTCTCCCTCTGCTTCTTGTGTCTCTTCCCTCGTTTTCTCTTTTCTTTCTTTTACTACTTTCGAAACCCACTCTCTTCCTCCAATTTCCCCTTACTTTCGTTCCATTTCATCTCTTTAATATCTACCCACATCTTCTGGTATCCGATCGAGGTTTTCTTTCCTGCTTCTCTTTCTTCTTTTGCTACTCTTCTTATCTTTTTTTGTATCTGCCCTTCCAATCTAGTTAGATCGTCGTCCAGATAGCATTCATATTTTTTACCCAGTTCCTTTCTTTTTGTCATTATTTCTCTTTTGTCCTCCCAGCTCTTACATTTCATCACTGTCATTTTATTTCTTCCTTTTCCTATTTCATGTACTTGTTCGATGGTTATTTTCATTTCTTTTATTTCGCTTATCATCTTCTCTACTTTCTCTTTCTTTCCTGCCTCGTTTCCTATCTCTGCTCCTTTCACAACTATGTTATTTCTCCTCCTTCTTCTCTCCGACATTTCCATATTTCTTTCCATCTCTTTCATTTTTTCCATCAAGTATCTTCCTTTGCTCTTGTCTTCTATGTTCAATTCTGTTTTTTCTATTTTCTCCTCTACCTTTTTTATTTTTTCCTCCAGCGACTTTTTTTGCTGTTCCCAGATTTCCTCTCTCCTTTTAAATTCTTCTTTCAGCTCTCTTATTTCTTTTTTTATTTCTTCTTTATCTTTTCTTCTTTCTACTTCCTGTTCCTCTAGTTTCCTTATAATTTCTTTAATCCCCTCTGCTGCCATGCTTTCTTCCTCTTCCTCTCCTTTCTTTATTTTATTTGGTGGTGATCTGTCAACCTTCCTTGTTTCGTTAAATTTCTCCAATATTTCTTTCTCTGCTTTGGCTATTTCCTCCTCTACTCCTTCTCTTTTCCTCTTCTGTATGTAATCTTTGATTGATCCTGTTCCTAAGCTGTCTGCTCTTCCTCTCAGTTTGGCCAGTCCTTCCGCTTTTGTTGGTCTTCCCTTCGCTTTCTTTCCTTCCTCTTCTCCTTTCTTTTCCTTGTCACCTCTTTGTCTACTTTCTACTATTCCTTCCTTTTCTGCCTCCATTCGCCACCTTTACTTACCGTATACTCGCCGTGGCTCCCTCTACGTTTACTCTTTCCGCCCTTTTCACTTATTTCTATCCGCTCCTTCCCTGTTGGTAATTTACCTTCTTTCTTCCCCCACAGGTGGCGCCCTGTCCGCCTCCTCCGTTTACGTACCTTCTCCTGCCGCCCTAACCTTCTCACCTGTTGACTTTTTACGTTCTATTAATTATTACCTTCCCGATTCCTACTTTGACTCACCGTATCTCTGCTTATTGCCCTGCTTCCGCTCTTTCCTATTTCCTACAACTCTCCTTTTTTCTCTCCACTATACCGCTTCTTCTAGCTCTCCAAATTCCACCTGTCTCTCCACGTCTACTCTCCTCGACCGCCAGCTCAGAAGTCCCAATTATTTTTTTAGTTGTTCAAAGAATGTTGGCATTCTTAAAACAATTTTTCGCTTTATTATTAATGTGTAAAATAAGTGTAATCAAGAACTTTATGTTTCCTTCGTCTTGCCTAGTATCTCTGATTGTAATAATGTCAGTTACTTCATGTTCATGCTTGTTTTTGCCAAGACAACTTGTTTCAGAGTCAAGGTTAAAAAATTATTTTTATTTAATTGTTAATTTCCTGAAAAATTAGAAAATATTTTTATTTAATTACTAATTTTTTGGAAAATTAAAAAATATTTTTTTTCCATTATTTTTTAGAAAATTAGAAATTATTTTTATTTAATTATTTATTTTTGAAAAATTGGTTATAATTCTCGATTTATTATTAAATTTTCCAAGAATTAAAAAATAATGTTAAACATTAATAATTTTTGTAGAAATAATTTTTTTTGAAATTATTTACAAATTGTTAGGTAAATAGAAATAAATTGAACAAAATTTTTATTTTTTTGGCACTTAATATTGTATTTTGGCTTATTAATAATTGCTTTGACATTTAAAAAATAAATAATGAAATTTTTTTTTGCCGATTACTGCTATCATGGCAACCATCGTAAAATATGGACTTTTCCCTGCAAATTAAAAGAAAAATTAAGTCCGTACGATTTTTTTTCGCCGAGTTATGGCTTATCAAAGTTACCTATGCATTTTTGTGCATTCAATTACCGCCAACATTAGCATTACGATGGACACCACGGGGAGGTTGCTGGTCGGATTTTGCCCATCGTGTGTGTGTGTGTGTGTGTGTGTGTGTGTGTGTGTGTGTGTGTGTGTGTGTGTGTGTGTGTGTGTGTGTGTGTGCGCGCGCGCGTGTGTTTTAGGTGGGAGGAAGGGCTGTAAGTACGTTTGCACTTAAAACTGCGTATTCCCACCTCGTCTTTGAATGACTTCTTGCAGACGTTCACGCATATTGATGCAGTTTCTAATTGTGGCTTGAGAAATTTCATACCATATTTGCTGTAATGCCGCTTCTAGTTGTCGGAGATTTGTTGGCAGTCTCTCCAAAGCCTTCTTCCCATCATATCCCACACATGTTTAATAGGATTTAAATCTGAGCTTACCGGTGGATGTGGTAGCACCTCGATGTTGTTTTCTTCAAGAAAATTACGAGTAATTCTGGCAGTGTGTGGGCGAGCATTGTCCTGCATTAGAATAAAATTACGCCCCATTTGACGACGCATCGGAATTACTTGAGGACGAGCCCGCGAACTCAAGCCTCTTTCGTGCAAACGCCTCTTGATCGTTTGAGCGGTGATTTGTCTGTGCGGGAGAGCTTCATTCGCAATTTGTCACGCAATCATTGTCGGATTTCGCACCGTTTCATTGAGGATGAGCCGATCTTCTCGAGGTGACGTTACTCGTCTTCGACCTTGTCCTCTCCTCCGACTAAATCTGCCTGTCTGTTGATAACGAGCCCAAACTCGAGAGATGGAGGACCGATGAACGTCTTTCTTCTTGCCACATAATTTCTGCTCAATCCTTCTTCCAGAAGAGCAATGATTTTCATTCAAACGAGGCATTGTTACAATTTTTCCGATAGGAAAAGATTTATTAGATTATATGACAAAATCTGGATAAAATTAGGAATGCTGCAATTCGGTTTTAACATAAATTTTTTTTATTAAGCGGTCTGATAGATCATGGCATACTTTCTTTGTAAACTTTTTGAATTTTTGCAATATCTTCAAAATTGAAAAAAATATAGTACACGAAAATATGCTGTGACGTCATCTTATATAAGAAATGACGTCATACTTTTTGAAGTTGCCGTCATCAAAGAAACTTTAGCAAGCTATAACTTTCTCAAATTTAATTTTTTTTTTTAATTCAAAAAGTACTAAAAATCGGCTTAGATTCTCTACATTAATTATGGATATCGCTTAATAAAAAAAAAATGTTAAAACCGAATTGGCAACAATAGTAGTAGAAATTTAGACCGTTGTGCAAATATTAATAAATATTTGCACAATTTATTTCTAAATAGTATTTCAGCAAAAAAGCAGCGTTTTAACATTTATTTTATTTTTTAGGGGTGGCTGCAGTTGGAGGATATTCGCATCAATATATTTATAAACGTCCCTGATATAACGAAAAGGAGATTTGGTAGACAATGTTTAAAAAATAATTGCGACAACATTTGGTCTGCGCGGGAGGAGTGTTGTGAGCGCACAAAATAGAAATAAGTTATCGCACTTGGCAACTCCGAGTTGCCTCCTGCGAGAAACCTGACCCTAGCGACAAGGACCGCTGACGCGAAGGCCAGCACGAGTTTTCGTTGAATGACTATATATGGTCATTCCGGAGATCACCAGCTCGCTAGGCCTCTGACCTAAGTCAGCAATTCCGCGCGCGATAAAACGCCCGCCCGTCCAAGCGGCAAGCAGTCTGATACCGAGCGCGTACCGCGAATTAATCGTCGCGTTAATCAATTGTGACTAAGGAGTTGTGAATAAACTATCATTGTGAAAAAGATATCAAACAGTTTATTGCACGTGATTGTGAATATCCCGAAAGTGTTCTCTCCTGTTTGGCGGATCATTAGAATAACCCAGTGCCGGCCCTCCAAATAAAGGTACAGGGCACAACAGGAAATATTTTGCCTTAAAAATTTATTCACAAAAGATAACATTTAAAAATTGTAAAAAAATTATTTTTTATAAATATAAAATTGTTTTTAATAAAAATTGTCTATATAAAAAAGCATCCTTCATAAAATTATGTTATTATAAGAATATATTACACTGAAATAATTTTTTTTGTATTTTCTATGTTTTTTCGCTTACTTTCTCCTTAAATTTAGATATTAAAATAATTTATTAAAATTATTAAAATATAAACATAAAAATACAAAACAAGCTTGTGTATATAAACAATAAAGGAGGGTATCGGCCAATAACGAGCGAAAACAAATTAGTTAGAATTATCGATTTTTTCAAATGTATTGTCAACAATGTTGAAGGGATGTTTCGGCACACCGTGCCTTCTTCAGCCTCATAATATACATTAAAATATACGTTTCAGACTATTTTTACAATTAAAGAAATACCTTAGATATTATGAAGTCGTATTAAAATATATAAATTACATATCGCTATAAAGTATTATACATTTAAATATAACTTCATGAGAAAGAGATGATACAAACACGCGAATGAAAGACAGCGCGTGAAAGAATTAAATAAACGGTTTTTTATGACTGAATGAACCGTTATCGGGTCGATCGTCAACATCATTTCCTTTTTTTTGCGCCCTGCTTAGATAGATTGTTTAGTCTACGTGATAAGCACTCCGTTTCCCAGAAAAATTACCCTTCCCCCGTAATCCATTACCCCGCCTCCTTTTCCAAGAAAAACATCCCGCTTATTGTACCGCGACACCCGCCTTCGCGAGATGCTGTTTACACAAAAACATGCTTCTGCACGTCCGTTATATCAGCCTTTAACTTTGAAAACTGAAATTTACTCGCCGAGTTAGTCTTACCATTATACGCCGCCTAGCGATGTCGTTGCGAACGAACCCCGCGGTGCGAACGCGGACCCTCACGCCCTATTTGTACACGTGAGTCATACACGTGAGTCATCCCGGTGAGTCATACACATGGTATGTCAAGGTCAAGGTCATACACGTGAGTCATCTCAGTGACATCATCGTGAGTCATACACGTGGTATGTCAAGGTCACCCCCCGCGTAATCTGATACCCCCTCCCTCACCCCCTCGTTACCCCATGGGTTAGAATCGGTGTAGTATAGGTACCTACTTCATTACTACAGAAGCAGATGTAGGACAACTCACGGACCTTTGGACACTATTGAATCCTAATCAATAAAAAGATCACCCATTATGTTACACAGAGTTTTATGCTAAGAGCCTTTGCAAGAAACGAATAGAATAGCCATTTTTGATATTGCATAAAGTATTCAATTTAAATAAATAAGTTAAGCTTACGTTATAAGTTAAGTTATTTGAAATTAAACCTCTTGCTGTAAGATACAAAATTATATTCTTTCAAGAGTAATAAATAAATAAATAAAATAAATAAAAATAAATATTTTAAACTGGTATACTTTAAATTATGCCACGTGCAATTCTATTTTCTGTTTGCTTAAAAGTAGCGGCATATTGGCCAGTCTTTCCTTAGAGGGTCTCTAGCTGTGTCAACTGGAGATCGTCGTTTCATGTCAAGCAAGTCCTGCTTAGCGACGAGGTCGTCAAGAGTTGCTGGCATAATGCTGGTGCCGCTAATTCAATTTGAATGTACCGACAAAAGGTTCCTCGAATTCGCGCTGGTTTATGGATTTTTCGTGAGTTGCAGTCCGGTGATGCGCCGATATAGGAAAAGTTTGGAGGCGTTCTGACGAGATTAAAACACTTGGAGATGCACTGACAAAGTGAGAGGACCTACAGATGCCCTGGCGAAATGAGAATTCCAAAAACTCCTGATGAGGCGAAAGAACTTGACAAGTACGAAGTCCGAGAGTGTCCCTTTTTGATCTGATTGTAAGAAAGATCCCAGCGTGAACCGGCCGATCGAATTCATTCGACTGACTTGCGCTCTAATCTTTGGGTAAACGACTGTATGCAATTCTCTCTGATTCCGTCCGTACTCTATATTTGGCTCAAAGAACCATTAAATGTTTACGAGATTTCCAATATTCCGCAGACTTTTGATTTGCAACGCAAACACTTATTGCTTTCTCATAGAGAAAGCTTTGTGATGGTGAAAAAAGAATTTTTCGAGATTTTAAAGGAAATAGATTTAGAATGTTCTAAAATGTCGAGAAATCATATTAGTAGAAAATGTCCAAAAGTATGTATGTGTGTGTGTGCGTGTGCGTGTGTGTGTACGGATTTTTTGTACACGCATCTACTTTTTTTTTTTAGATACCGGGTTGAAGTTTTGCACACAAATAGAGTACCATAGAAAGTATGTTCTTCTCCAATTTTATTAAACTCCGTCGACCGGTATGGATTTTAAGGGGATTTTTATTTTTCAAAAAAGCGTGTTTTACGCTATAGTTTACTCAATATTTGAAATATCGATGTATTTCTAATTCTATTATATTTTTCAATTTTTTTTTACCCCTATTTCATATATAATTCTTTAAAATGTAATTAATCAGTTCTTGAGTTTGTGACGTGATAAGTCGCGTCTACTTCCCGGACGGGCTCGGCCGAGGGGAATTCGAGGGTGTCTCTTCGTCGGAGCAAGGGGAGGGCGGTTGCGTAATATTAATTGGTCTAATTAGCATTTAAGTTTTTAAAGGATCGCCGGTGGTGACCGGAATCAGCCTGTAACGGCCGCGAGCCGCAACGTGGAAGAGCTATCAGGACTAAGGAAACGGCCGGGGGACTTGGTCGGTAGTCGGGTCGCCCGAACCTCCTCGCAAGCGCATTGGAGTACCGCCGGCCGGAAACCACTCCGCACTCGGTCACAACAGCAGCAGGAGAGGAATCGAGAGGACCCGGGGACACACCCGAGCGAATTGCCACTCAGACCAGGGTGCCCAGGAGCGGCCCAGGGAAGTGCGCAACCCTGAGACCGCCACCCCGAGAGGCTGCCGGCGGACGGGGCCAAGGCCCGGCCAGCCTGACCTCGAACGCCGGCTCAATCATCGTGGCCCGGACAGCCGGTTAATTTCAAAAGCCCGCGCCGAGTCGGAGGTAACTGGAGTGGCGCCGCCGGAAAAAGAGGCGCGCGAGAAGCCGAGGCGCCGGTGAAAGCGCCCTAGAGTCGGAGTGGCGCCACTGGAAGGAGCGGCGTACGAGCAGCCTACGCGCGAGAAGCGCTAGGATCGGCGATCCGGTCGCGCTACACGTTACGGCGCAGGCGCGGGGAACCGGCGCGATCCCGGCGGGACGGTAGTCCCGCGACTGTCGTGCCGGCGAGGAACGAGGAAGCATCCGCCCGGATAACGAGCTGCCCGGACCGAAGGAAGCCCCGTCGAAATTGTAGGGTCATCACCCTGGCGTCCCCGCGTTAAGTAGGGAGGGTTTACGCGAGGCGCTGGCCCCAGACACGTATCGGTTATCTAGGCGCGGCAGGAATTACCTGTGGACGGCGGCATGAGCGCGTGCGTTACCTTGCGCTCGCATTCGAGAGAATCGTGTTGGAATTCGTGCGTGGGCCTCGCCGAGAGTGAACTGTCCTGTAATTAGAGACCAAGTGTGCCCTCCCCGGGAACACCGCCACGGCCCGCAGTCGCGTGGCGTTAAATTGTGTGAGTTGAATGATCGTGTCGCGTCCACTCATGTTAATCGGAATAATTGTGTCGCGTTTTATTGTGTTAATCGGAATAATTGTGTCGCGTTTCATCGTGTTAATCGGAGTAATTGCGTCGCGTTTTATCGTGTGAAAGTAATGGTAGCGAGTGGTCATGTATTTTGAAGGGCACTCGGCCGCGTTGTTGAATAACGTATCCGGGCCCTCGAAAACGGCGAATATTGTGCTTGGCGGGACGGAAAGGTTGTCGGGATCGGCGCGGGGCCGCGGAATCTCCGGACTTGCGAAGGAATTCGGGATTCGCGTGGCACGCCGCGGGATCGTCCGAGTCCTTGTTTTGTGTTCGGGGGCAATCGCCGGCCAGCGTGGCCGCTACGGCGAGTTCGCCCATAAGTTTTGCGTCGTGCGGAATCGAGGTGGCCCGGGTAGGCGTCGAAGACGTAAGTGGAGGTGTTGCGATTCAGTTGGTCGGCATCGCGGCGTAAATATTCGTGAAGCGTTCGTAGTGAGGTACCGCGTTACCTTAAATTTATCGTGAGTATGCATCTGATTATCGAGTGATCTTGCGTTCAGTTATTGCGTTGTCGCGTCACTCTTTCGTGCGTTCGTTTTGTGTTTGTCTGTTGCGCTATTCTGCCATGCGTTTAAGTATCGTGTTAAACATTCGACATTATCGCGTTCATAGATTTTGATATTCTGCTGTTATTTGATCTGACATTTTCACTTCCGTTTATTGCGTTAGTTTTCCGGCATTTTTGCGTCAGCGTATCCGACATTTCTGCGGCAGTCTACTAATTCGTTTTTTCTGGCGTTAATATCTTTTCATTCCGCATGATATGATTCTGAGTATGATACGCTCGCACACGTTATACCTACATTTATACTAACTGATATCATATTGCCAACACTTTATACCCACACCTACACTGACTGATTAAATATATTACACGTGATTCTGTTACTAAACTTTTGTGTGGTTTATTGCGTTACGCCTGCTCTCCAAATTCCCTGACAGAAAGCTACACCCTGAGGTATCGTAGGAGATATCGCGTTGTATAAGATAGAGTACGGTGGTGCGATCCATCGCACCTGGCGCCCAAGCATTTTGTGTTTTAGCAACTTTGTGTCAATTTACGATTGCTTTCCCCCGGATTGCGAGACCGAGAGAAAAAGCGTCGCAAATTATAAAAATTTCAGTAAACTTGGCAGTTTTTTTTAACAAAAATTGGTAACTTTTTTATTATTACAATTTTTATTCTATTATATTCTTCAGTCTTTTCTACCTTTATTTTATATATAATTTGTTAAAATTAGTTCTGGATTTGGTTGACCAATTTCTGTAAAAAAAAACAGCCAAGTTTACTGAAATTTCTATAACTCAAGAACTGATTAATTAAATTTTGAAGAATTATATACGAAATAGGGGTAGAAAAAATTGAAGAATATTGTTGTGTGGCGAAAGTCACCGCTCCCTAATTGCGCCACCTAGCTGTCAGCGTTACTTCCGGATCTTGCCAAACTCACCTGAG